TCTTTCTTGAATACTTTCCTGTCCATAATTCTTTGATATATGTGATTCCATCATATCTTCAATGTTGTATGCTGCATCTCGAATTTCCCTTTCCAATCATCGTAGTTCCTCGCTCCTTCTCTGCCAAGAATCATCCAAAAAATCTAGTAAGAATTTCAAATTTTCCTGGAGAGATTTAATTTGTTGGTCCTGAAGAGGAGTCTGATGTTGTTTGAGATGAGGATTTGATATGTGCTCCAGAATCTGATCAAGAGATAATACAGCAGCATAAGCCATCTTTGATTTTTTTCACAGAATCTGATTGAGAGATAATATCACGAAATTGTAGCCCACCTTAACAAGTGGTGGTTCTGGGAGGTGGAGGTGTAGGTGGAGTTAGAGGAATTGAGTGGAGGGAGGGGATGAAGAAGAGTGCAGAGAGAGACAAAAAAAAAAAAGGGGTGGGTCTTTGTGCATGTGCGCGCAAGTATTATTATTATGGAACCCAGCTGCATGTACGCGGAACACTCGCACATGGGAGGAGGGATGAGTTGTGTAATTTTTTTACTTTTTTTATTGAGGACCATTATTAAGCAACCATACAAGCTTTTTGTTAAGTTTCCAGGAAATTGTCAAAGTTGAACAGACAATTTTCCTCCTTCCAAGATTGTATTCAAAAAAAAATTCTCATTATCTAAAACTCATTTTTTTTCCAAACTCATTATCAATCACACAATTTCTTGGTAAAATATTTTGCACTTTAATCCAATTTTTTACAAAACCAATTTTAACAAAATTAAACATATGCCGAATAATTAAATTATCAGAGGGGAAATTGCAGCTTTAGTACAGATTCTATACACTTAATAGAAAACATGTCTTAATTCTATTTCTTTTAGCGTTCACATCCTCAAAATTCCATTTTTGATGCGCATAGTTCCTGGTTGACGAAATTCATTTAATTAATAGCTAATTTCCACATTACCACTTATCTTTTGGGTTCTCTACGAAATTGTTAAATATTATTGCAACATTCTTAACATCATTTCAACATTTTACTGCAAAAATCACTATTTTTGTTAGATGTGGAAATGGAAATGATAAAAAATTAAGAAACTAAGAAAGGAATAAAAATAGAAAAATGAAGTCACGGAAAAAAAAGGCTTCATAGTGTTTTTTTGTACTTTCTTTTTCATTTCTTAGTTTTTTTTTTTTAATTTTTGTTTTTGTTTTGGTATTGATTTTGTGTTTTTTTTTCAACAATTAAAATTAAGGATATTATTGTCTTTGCAATAAAAATATTGATCTTTTAACATTCAAATAAACAATAGCAGACGAAAAAAGTGATTTCACACAAAAAGTCGAAATAAAGTTAAGAATATTAGGATTGATACGTTAAGTACCAATCCAATGAGGACAGCAAATGATAAGGGGGTATCGAGCAAAATAACATTTAATTAATATGTTGCAAGTAACTTTTTAACAAAAAGATGAATTACCTTCATTCATTAACACAAAAAGCTGGATAGATATGCCACATTCGAACCACCACCATTTGTCGTTGATTTAATTAAAGATTTCAAAGCCGGCCGTTTTCTTTAACTTTTACTAAAGAATTTAAAAATAATGTTTGTAAAACATTATGTTGAATTATTCAATATTTCACGTATACAAGCCTCTGTTTAGTTTTGCTAAAAATCATGTTTTTAGTAGAGTTAATGAAGTGCTTGGTTCAAAAATTAATAAAAAATGTTGTACCGTGAAATGTTTGGTTGAAAATGAATTTCGGGAAAAAAGGAGGGACAAACATGGGTTAAATTTCTCTTTAACGAAGGAGAGTTGAAGTATTTGAGAAATGTTTTTGGGGCTTATAGGTACCAATTCAACAGGTATTGCGCAAATAGCCTTTTAAAAAGTGCCTTTTTTTTCTTTTTTTTTTCAAAAAGACGATTTTTCTCTCATTCTTAACACCAAAAATCTATAGAAAATAATAAGACCACGCCCCAAACCACCACCACCACTTGTAGTTGAATTTAGTTAAAGGATTCAAAGCCCACTACTTAGCTCTTGGATTTTCTTTTTCTTTAAATTTTAATAAATAATTTAAAAATAACCTTTGTAAAATTTTGTGAACCCCTACTTTACAAAGGGAATTCCCCATTGTTAAGCAATCATACAAGCTTTTTGTTAAGTTTCCAGGAAAATTCACCATTTTAAATTTGTCAAAGTTGAACAGTCACATTATTATAACAAGACTTGTTACATCACACCAGACAATTTTTCTCCTTCCAAGAAAGGGCAATTATCCTCAACAAAAATGCTACTTGTACACACTTGGTACACAATCTCCTACATAATCCTCTCACAAGTGTGTGGGGTCCACAATGGACCCCACATTGTGGGACCTACACACATGTGAGAGGGTTGTGTAAGAAATTGTGTACTAAAGTGTGTAAGTGTAGCAAGATTCTATTCTCAAAGCCAAGCCCAAGAACATGGCTCTGACTTGTATTCAAAAAAATTTCTCATTATTTAAAATTCACTAATTTTTCAAACTCATTATCAATCACGGAATTTCATGATAAAATATTTTGCACTTCAATCCAATTTTTTTAACCACCTATTCTCAAAAAATTCACTATTTAGAAAATCAATTTTAACAAAATTAAACATATACTAAATAATTAAATTATCGGAGGAGAAATTGCAGCTTTAGTACACATTCTATACACTTGATAGCAAACAGGTCCTCATTCTATTTCTTTTACNAAGCTTTGTTATGTTATAATTGTGTTGTAATTTAATTTCATTAATCCAAGTTTCACTCAAATTATCCGCAGTTAATTTCTTTTAAGAATCGTTTTTAAGAACGTATTAAAATTTAAACACTATTCACGAAATCAACAATTTAATTCATTGACACACTACTTTTATCGACTTTTCAATAGAATTTTATTAACTTTTATCAAAATTTATTAA